CCCTTCCCGTTAAAAAGAAAAAGATTAATATTGGGCCTGATTACTCTGAGTCTTCATCTTATTTAAGAACTGAAATTATGAATTCAGTGTGTTTGTGATAAATCTCCCCTGAGCTGAACTGTTCCACATTCTAACCTCTTTGGTTATAGAAGAATAATAAGGAAATGGAGATAATTTAAGAAATGTGGTAATTTATAAATATGAATGAGCACTTACGTGCTAACTAAAATAAAAGAAAAAACGATTTCCCTCAGGATCCTGATGTCAAAGAAAGGAATGACTAAAACAAAAAATGGTTATTGTATGAAACTTAAAAAAAAAATAGAAGAAAAAGCTGTACCATCCATAGCAGCCACAATTAACATTTTGGCTACAGTGTTTTGGAATAGGTTTATATCTTTTTGTGCAATAAGTTAGAATGAGAATCTTGGCCTTAGATTTGTAGAGGATTTATAATAGTACTGACTTAGTGAAATCCCAAAGAAATAACAGTTATGTTTGAAAATATATGGGAAACACATCGAAATGCTTGATTTTGTCATTTTAACGAACTCACTGAGGCACAGGTAGGTATTGTAACATTGTAGAGGGTTGAAGGGAAACCTGAATCTACCGAAGACATCAAGGAATGCCATGCTGTGTCTGTGGAAGGTGGGCATCATCTTCACTGCCAGCCTTCGTAGATTGGGAATGTAGCTAGAAACAGCAGATGAGTTAAATTCACTTGCAAAACTATAAATGGAGGTGAAAGTTTTCTTTAATGGTGAGATGAGTTTTTGAATATGTGAAGGAAATTATTTTGGTTAGGTGACTCTTTTTAATTAATTTAATTTTCTGCTTTTTATCCTTCAGCTAGGGAATACTAACAAGTCTCAAGACTCCTTCCCCACCTTTGTGTGTATTTCTGAATCAGTATTAGATCATTGTATATGCATTTGAGGTTAAGCACATCCATAATTCTTTCATTTGATGATAAAGTTTTTTAGTATAAGATTCATGATTTATGTTATGGCTAAGTGAAGCATTTTAGATTAATTGGAACTTTTCCATCTTCCTTTATTGCAGTTCGACAAGAACAGGAATTAAGAAATGGAGGAGCAATAGATAAGAAACTAACTACCCTTGCAGATCTGTTCCGGCCACCCATTGACTTGATGCATAAAGGCAGCTTTGAAACAGTAAGTTGTTGGAGTTTTCTTAACTATGAATCCTTTTGTGTTTTCTTTTTTCATGGTAGAGAATGTATATACACACATGAGAATGAGAGAGAGAGAGAAATGAGCACACTCCCACAGGGTCTGGTCATGCTATGATCCCCTTCTTTCAGTCCACCAGTTTGTCTGGATCTTAGATACTTGTACACATGCCTGGTATATTTCAGGCTTACCAGGCCAGGGATTTGAATTGAGGTCACTACGTGGGATCCAGCTTCTCTCGAGCAATGCATTACTGCTGCACCATGAAACCAGCCCCCTTTTACATTTTCTTTTTCTTTTTAGGTTTTTGTCTTAGGTTGCATGTACTTGCTGGAGAGAAGCAGAGATAGTCAGAGGGAAAGTGAGAACCCACCCCCCAGGTGGGATGGCCATACCACAGTTGCCTCTCCTCTATTCTGGGATTTTGGCCATACATGCACACACACCCAGCATGATTTTCAAACCTCTAGGTCTGGTACTCAAACTGCATTTGGCTGTGTGGGAGTCCACCCCCTTGACCACCATGCCTCCCTTAGATGTGCAATGCTGTTTTTGTTTTTTCTTTCTTTCCTTTTTTTTTTTTTTTAAGAGAAAGAGATTTTGCTATAAGGCACATGTGATCACAAGGAGAGACAGGGAGAGAAAGTGAGAAATCACCCCCCAAGATGGGATGGCCATGCTGCAACCCCTTTTCCTCTGTTCTCCTTCTGGGATTTTGGGCATGCAAGCACACGCACCTGATGTGAATTTCAAGCCTCTGGGTCTGGGACTTGAACCACAGTTGGCTATTTGAAAGTCTAGCGCCTTAACCACTATGCCACTCAGTATTCTCTGTTTTTTCTTTCTAAGAGTAAACATAATATTGTCAATATACAGGGAATTGGCATCTTTTTCTTTCTCCTTCCCCCTTTTTTTTTTCTAGAGGGTGTGTGTATTCACCAAAGAAAAGGAGAGAAGAAATCACCTCCCCACCGAGAATGGTCATACTGCAGTCCCTTCTCCTTAATCTCTTCCTCCTTTCAGGATTTTGGACATGCATGTATATGTACCTGGTGTATTTCTCAAGCTGCTGAGTCTGGATCTCAAACTAAATGGTCATCCATGTGGGATCCGGCTGCCTTAACCACCAGGCCATGGAACTGGACCCAAGAAATTGGCATCTTAATAAGTATTTATATATGATATACCTTCCTCCACCAACACACACACACACACACACACACAGATTTCTCCTTGGTTTTTCTCTTAATGTAGTAGCTACCTCTTTCTGGTACAATGTAGCCATTGAGAGAGAATGGTAACAATATAAAAGACAAAAAGAATCTGAATTTGTTTTGACTTTTTTTCTGTTTTTATGTGAAAAATAAATTTCATTGTTTATGATGTAGTGCATGCACAGGTGCACTTGTAGGCATGAAAAAGATATGAGCACTTTCCACAGGGTCTGGTCATGCTGTGGTTCCCTTTCCTCCTGTGTTTCAGGCTGACCAGGCCGAGGATTTGAACTGTGGTTGCCATTTGGGATCTGACTTTTTTTGGTTATTTTTTAATAATTATTTATTTTATTTTATTTATTATTTATTTATTTAAATTTGCTGTAGGGTATGTGTATTCACCAGAGAGAGACAGTGATGGAGAGAGGGGGAAAGTGAGAAAGTGAGCTGCCAGCTCTGGAACTTGAACCACGGTCAGTCGGTAAATGTCAGAGTCCAGCACCTTAACCGCCATGCCTCCTGTTGGCCTGACTTTTTTTCTTTTTTAATACGCCGTAGGTTGTATGCGTTGGTGAGAGAGAGGAAGCAAAAGAGGGAGGAAGAGAGGGGAAGTGAGAAATCTTCCCTGGTAGGAGGATGACCTTACAATCCCTTAAGTGTTATTTGCCCTTGTCCACGGTTTTACAGTGGCTTTCCACCATGTTTACTTTCTAGCCATATGAAGGAGGGAAGGGACTGAGAAGTGTATGCTTTTCTCCTTTAAAGACACAGCCTGGATATTGTCTCTTATGCTCACAGCCCATTGACTAGGACTTGGCAACAGGACTACTTCAAGCTGCTAGAGACACTACAAAATCCAGATGATTAGCTTAAAATTGGAGGTTCTGTTACTAAGAGGAACAATGGGAGAATGGGTTGTAAATGCAAAGGAAAAATTCCTGAAGGAAATGAAAAGTGCTACTCTAGTGAATATAAACGGGGGATAAGAAAACTGAGCATCCTTATTGTTGATGTGGAAAGAGTAAGTGGTCTGGATAGAAAAGTAAGCCAGCAAAAACATTCCTTTAGGTCAAAGCTTAATCCAGAGTGAGACCCTAACTCTCTTCAATTCTGTACAGACAGAGAGGTGAGGAAGCTGCTGAAGAAAAGTGAAATGAGTAGAGGTTGTTTATGAGGTTTAAGGTAAGAAGCTGTTTCTGTAACTTTAATGTACAGAGTGAAGCAGCAGGTGCTGGCATAGAAGTTACAGCAAGTTCTCCAGAATATCTAGCCACGATAATGATGAAAGTGGCTGTACTGGGGACCAGGAGGTGGCATGGTGGTTAAAGCATTGGACACTACCACATGGCTGACCACAGTCCCGGATCTGGTAGCTTGCTTTCTCACTTTTCCTCTGTCTCTCTATGGTCAAGTTAAAATAAATGAATGAATAAATCTTTAAAAATTAAAAATAATTCTTAAAAAAAAAGAAAGAAAGAAAGTGCCTGCACTAAACCACAGATTTTCATTGCATATGAAATAGCCTTCTATAGGAAGAAGATGCCATTTAAGATGTTCATAGCTAGAAACAAGCCAATGCCTGGCTTCAAAGGACATATTGAAAATCTAGTTAGTGGCTAAAAAAGCTTGACTTTCAAGTTGAAGCCTATACTTACTTACTGTTCTGAAAATTCCATGACCCTTAAGAAATATGCTAGTGTTACTTTGCCTGTGCTCTATAAATGGAGCAACAACGTCTAGATGACAACATGTCTGTGTATAGCATGGTTTAATGACTGTATTAAGCCCACTGTTCAGACTTCTCTGAAAACAGATTCCATTCAAAACAGTACTGCTCATTGGCAGTGTACCTGTCACCAAGTGCTTTGCTAAAGATGTTTAAGGAGATAAATGTTGTTTTCATGTCTTCTAATGCACCATTCGTTCTGAAGCTCATGGATCATTTTAACTTTTAAGTCTTATTTAAGAAATGCATTTTGTGAGGCTTTAGCACCATATATAGTGATTTCCTCAGATGAATCTGAGTAAATTAAATTGAAAACCTTCTGAAAAGGATTCACCAATCTAGATGACATTAAGAACTAGCAAGAGAACTAGAATTAAAGTGGAGCCTGAAGATATGACTGAATTGCTGCAACATGGTAAAACTTTTTTAAGAGACTTTTACCTTAGGGCACATGCACTCTCCAGAGACAGAGACAGTGAGAGGGAAAGTGAGAAATCACCCCCCAGGGAGGATGGTCACTCCACAATCCTTTCTCCATGTGCTCTTCCTAGGATCTTGAGTACCCATGCACATTTGTCCTGCATGCGTTTTAAGCCACTGGGTCTGGGATTCAAACTGTGGTCAACGATTTGGGAGTCTAGTGACATAAACACTATGCCATCTGCTGGCCCAATCGTGATAAAACTTCAATGGATAAGCAAAGAAAGTGGTTTCTGAGATAGAATCTACTCCTGGTGAACTTTGTTGAAATGACAACAAAAGGTATAAACTTATTACATAAATTTAGTTGAGAAAGCAGTGGCAGGGTTTTAGGATTGACCCCAGTTTTGAAAGTTTTACTGAGGGTAAAATGCTGTCAAACATCATCACATGCTACAGAAAACTCCTTCCTGAAAGGAAGGGTCAGTTGATGCAGGGGCAACAGGTGGTTAAGGGTGCTGGACTCCTACATGGCCGACTGCGGTTCGGATCCTGGACCTGGTGGCTTGAAAAACATGCTGGTGTGTATTCCCAAAGTCCCAAGAGGAGAATGGAGGAGAAAGGACTGTGACTTGACCATACCCCTTGGTTATTTCTCACCCCCTCCCCAACTCTCTCTTGTGAGCACAAGATTCCGTTAGCAAAAACTAAAAGAATCTATTGATGCAGCAAATTTCATTGTCTTATTTTAAGGAATTACCAAAGCAACTACCACCCTGACTAGTCAGCAGCCATCAGCACTGAGGCAAGACCCTCCACTAGCAAATAGATTGCAACTTGCTCAAGGCGCAGATAATTGTCAGCATTTTTTAAAATAATAATGTTTATTTTTGTTTGTTTATGTGTGAGAGAAAGAAAACATTTGTGTGTGAGTAAGCTTGGGAGCAAGAGCATAGAGAGAGGGAGAGAACAAGAGAGGACAGAGAGAAAGACAAACAGGTATTTCTCAGGTTCCCCCCATGTTGTGATTCTCCTGCTCCAGCCTCCCAGTTTGCTTAGCTAGGACAATGGGAGTGTACCACCCCACCTGGCTTGTTTAGGTAGGGCTGGAGAATTAACCTGGACCTCCCTGTGTGGCTTCACCACATTGTGGTCCACTCTTTATGCTACTGTGTCTGGGTCAGCAATAAAGTATTTTTTAATTAGGTATGTACATTTTTTAAAAACTTATTTATTATTATTGTTATTATTTTCCAGTTTGGTCAGAGAGAAGGAGGGGGGAAATGAGAAAGCAAGCCACCAGGTCTGGAACTTGAACTGCAGTCAGCCACGTGAGAGTCCAGTGCCTTTAAGCACCATGCCACCTGCTGGCCCCTGTACATTATTTTTTTTAGACAGAATGCTATTGCTTACTTAACTGGCTACCATATAGTATAAATATGACTTATATGCACCAGGAAACTAAGCATTTCATGTGACTTGTTTTATTGTGGTGGTCTGGAACCAAATGTTTAGTATCTCTGAGGTACTCTTGTATATAACTTAGGCAGAGTCCTCAAAAAGTTGATGGGAAATTTGTATTATCAAAAAGTACGCATAGATTTCAGTTTTTTTGCACCAAA